TATTTGGATATAAATAATTCCAAGAAAAATTATAGATTACAGCAAATAATTCCATTTAAAACTATCTGCTCATTTGAAACAAATACCTACTTGTTTTTTCAGTGATATAGCTACAAGGATATGAGAAAAAATTGTATAATAGCTAGATATTTTTTAGCGTATTCTCTTGAAGCATTGCATAATTCAACTCTAATTTGATTTCACTAAAAGTCTTAGGTCAACAGCATACGACGAATAGTACACCTCGATAAGTTTATATGTTACAGGTATGTCGTTAATGAACGCTACGAACAAGAGCGGGCCCAAAATAGATCCCTGAGGAGTCCCGCTTAACAAGGGCACGTAAACCCACTTAAATCGTTAATACCTACTAAAAATGGCGATCTTATTGCAGGAAACGCCGAAGTCTACATCATGCTGGCGCTGCTGATAGGCCTGGTGACCGTCGTCATAGGGTGCTGGCTGTCGGACAACTGCTGGTCCCCCGAACCCGAAGGGCAGGTCGTCACGGTAGCCTGACCAAAGCTAAAACCTCCCCCCAGCCAACCGGCGCCCATCAGCGTGGTCAGCGTGTCGTCGTCGTCGCCGTCGAGGGCGTCGAGTCCGGACAGCGACTGGCCCTTGGTAGAGGTTGAATTTTTTATTACCTTGTAACAGAGACACCGAATTTTCGAACGTTCTTAATGTACAGTGTGTCTAAATAAATCTGTTTCGCGGCTTAGTAGTTTGAAATCTTAAGAAATACAGGGTGATTTATTAGAACTGGGCAATAGAGTTGAGCAAAAATTTTTTTTTTAAAGAAATACATCAATTAATACTATAAAAAAATTAAAATGTTTCTGATTTTTGCAACAGAACATTTAGTAAAAACCATGTTATGTACAATACAATATATTACTTAATTTGATCACATTTTAAATTACAACTTATAGACCGATCAAAATAACTCATTTAGAGGGAAAAAAAATTGTTACCTGGACTTTCATAAGTGAAAATGGTAAAGGGGCTTATAATAAACGAAAAAAAGTTAATGCGGGGCGGCGGACGGTTGATTTGGGGGTTGAAAACTTATGAAAAATTATATCATTGGGATTTCTGGCGAAAGTTGAGGTCAAACAAAAATGTATCTAATATAAAAGTTGTAGACCATGCAAAAATCTACAACTTTGGTAGAGGTCATTTTTTAACATAACCTGAAAATTTCCGAGAAAAATGCAAAAAACTGGGTTTTTTCAGATTTTTTGTTTTTTATTTCTCATTTCCGCAAAAATAATTTAATTTTGGCCAAGCTTGGTGAAAGTATACCTTTCTCTGTCTTAAATAACCTCAATTTTTTTTAGATAAAAAAATCAAGAAGTTTCTGAGATATTCATTTTTTTTCGGCCTGAAACACTTTTTTTTTCAAAGAAAAATTCTACTTAAAAAATCATCGTACAGAGTTCTGCCGGTAATCATTTTTTTCGCTTTAACATATACTTTTTGGTAAAATAAAAAAATTTGTAATCACAGTTCAAAAACATGCTCAAAAATGCAAAAAAGTAAAAAATAACTTGCAGCAATGAATTTTTCAGTAATTGTTGTTAATTTGTTTAAATTTAAAAAAAAATCAAAAAATTAATACACCATTCAATTGTACGGAAAAAATACAAACAAAAACTGTCTCATTGTTTGACCCAAAACTATTTTTGTACAGTATTGCTATAAACATAAGTCGAATGGTGAATAAATAAAATAAATAATAATTTTTTTCCGTAGGATCGATTAGTGTACTTATTTTTTTTTAAAGTTTGATGAATTCATAGATATACAGTGTGTCCAAGATAAGGATGGATTGGATCATTTTATTTATCACA